TTTTTATGCATGAATGTGATCATTTAAGCATGAACCTGAGCAAAAATCAGAATTGATCATAATTAATACCAAAGCATATATAATAAGTTAAACAAAATCAATGCTCACATAGAGCCCATAACACTGCCAAAAATTAGTTATCATTTTGGCATGAACCTGAGCACAAATCATAGCTCAAACAGAGCTCGAAACATCACAAATCAGAGCTCAAAATCGGAGCAACAATCAAAGCACAAATTAAGAAAAAATTAGGCTCATACAGAGCTAAAAACTGATTTAGTGACCCATGCATACTCAACTGCTAGAAACGAAATAAGCACGGGGGAAATTTTTTTCACAACCTCGGATCAGAAGCAAAAGGGGTTTAGGGTTTTAGTTACCTCAATAGCGCACAAGATCTCAAGAACAATGATCTTGGTCTCAAACCCACAATCAACCCCAAATTCAGTGCTCAAGAACAACGTCTTAAATTTAGTTCCTCTAATCATTACACCAAAACTCCGAAGTTATGATGATGATCAATGATTATAGTTTTATATTAATTCTAACATGTCCCCGCAGGTCGAGTGCCTTTTTTATGGGTCGAAACCTGGACTCACATAGCGGTGTTAATTTTATAAAATCCACATTTAATTCGTGGCCGATGGAATTTGAACCTGGGTTGCTCTGATACCATCTTAAATTTAGTTCCTCTAACCATTACACAAAAACTCCAAAATTATGGTGATGATTAAGGATTATAGGTTTATATAATTCTAACACATCGATCTTCTCAATAAAATAAAAGAAGACCGAGCTAGCGCAGATGAATGGCATTGAAGAAGTGAGCACGAGACTGAAAGGAAGAGGATTGAGTGCTAAAAGGCGTGAATTTGAGGTGGGGAAGTGGGTTTTAGGGAGGGAGCAAGAGCAAGAGGGTGAAAGAGGTGCCCCAGAACGTTCGTTCCTTGTCGCCCATGAGAAATCGATTCAGACATGGGAAATCGGGTTAATTGTATTAGTTTTTAATTAGGGATGTTAGAATTCTTGGCAATTTTCACCCATTTTGATATAAAATTGATTTCTATAAAATACCCCCTTTTTCTTATTTAATAGAAAGCATTTTTATAAAAAAAATTTGAACCAAACATAATTTATAGAAATCAATAGAAAAGTTTTATTTATAAAAATGTCACTATCAGTTATTTTCCCAAAGTTTTTTTTATAAAACTAGTGAACCAACACCCACTTATGGGTGAACCAAACAAAAATAAATCTTTTCTAAGGAAACCATGAAAAGTGGCTTTTTGTTCTAAATTTGGTCTCCTGTTAAACCAACCGAACAGCCTCTTATGTACAAATGATGTTTCAATTTTAATTTTAAGTACTTAAGATTACAAGTAGTTAGTGACTTAATAATCAAACTTAAGGCATTATAAAGTACAGACCACAAACGGTTTGCCAGATCTCAAATAATAATGTAGAAAAGCAAGCCATTTATAACTATGTCCTAAGCAGGCAGCAATAATTAGTTTGTGAAAAAAGAAAGGGAAAATTGCTTGGAGCAAGCAATTTATAAAAAAGTTAAGCACTCTCCGCCACTAACTAAAGTCAAACCCATTTAGACACTTTGACCAAGTATTCATGCTAAAACACCCCTAGCCCAAGAAAATATAAAGTACATATACCGTATTTTGTATAGATGCATAGTTTACCCTTTTGTGGATTGTCAAAATTTTGTTGTCTTATCCGGCAGCCCCTCATTAGATTATACAGTAAGAAGTGACATGTAATAAGTTTGAGAGAAGAGAGAAGACTTGCATTAATGGCTGAGAGAGATTTTTTGGAGGGAAAGGAAAAATTGGAGGGAAACATTCTAAGTTCCCTCCAAAAAATGCCAAATATCTTCTTCCCTCTTTAGATTTTACTCATAGGACCTTCAACAACCAAAATCGTCTTAACTTTTTCCTCTTAACTTCTCCACCAACCAAAATGGAATAATCTTTAATAGTGTGATTTCGTTGAACACCAATGCAACTCTTATTAAAGTCAATCCTGCAATAAGTTTAGCTAAATTGAAGATGCACACTGCAGAGAATTTAAAGCAACTGTATAAAAGTTTGTTGATAAGTTACTCTCTCAAGAAGTTTGATGAAGATATTCTCAACATGATAGATTATCATCATTCAATGGGGTTAAATATGATAACCATAACTGTTACTGAAAGAGATGAAGGATCCACGCATGCCATAGGGATAGAAATAGAGTTTAAGTAGGTATTCAAAAGATTCTTTTTAGGTTCCATATACATGTTATAATGGGAACTATGATATTTACGTATTTTATGTGACCTATAAAATAGCACGTGAAATAATGACTTTATTTGTGACATATACAAGTTAACAGTTGTTTGTATTTGTTACACGTGACTTATATGTATTATTATATTCAACTTGCAATCTTCCTACTATAAACTCACAGTCATCGGAGCATATGCAAGAATCAACTCTCAAGGAGAGCATGTGTCGATGATGGATGATATAGTAAGTAACTCGATAAGAATCCCGACATAGTGGCACGAGTCAATTATTGAAAAAGGGCAACAATTTGAAAGCACAAAAGAAGTTAGAATGACTATTATATACTACTCTTTAGCTAAGAAGTTCTCTTTTAAATATATTAACAATGAGCCAAAATGCATTCGTGCTAATTGCATGTTCAGAAAAGAAACAAAATGCCCATGTTCCTTTATGCTTCACCATTGAGCCATGCGTCGACCTTTGCTATAGAAAATTTGTTCCTCAACATACTTGCAGATAACATAATAGCAAAGTTAGTCACTCTAGATCATCGAGAAGTTGGATTGCGAGTATGCTATAGTCAATTATGAAGAGGCGTCCATATATCATCTCAACTGACATTAGAAAGGAATTGCACTCTCAATATGGTTTAAAAGTTGACTATTCTAAAGCTTGGCATGCTAGGGGGACAGTAAAAGACCAAATATTTAATTGTGCAAGGCATTCATATAGTTTATTACCCTGGTTATTCTATTAATTTGTTGATGTGTCCTTTAGAACTTATATGTAATCTATTAACCTTAAATGTGACATTTTGGAAAGCTATGTGACCTTTAAGTACCATATGTGACATTTAGATCGTTTATGTGACATTTCGGTCTTATATGTGACCTTGAGATCTAACGTGTGACACTTAGATCTTACACGTGACATTTAGGCCTTACATGTGACACTTAGACCTTATATATGACATTCACATCTTATATGTGACCTTTAGAACTTATTCATCAACTAACAAGTTAATTGTCCTTTTAATCATCATTTAAAGGTACCAAATTAAGGTGAGAGAAAGAAATCCAGGTAGCATCGTCATCATTGAACAAGAAGAAAGGCGATTCAAGCGTTTATTTGTTTCCTACAGTGCATGCATATATGGGTTTCTCAAGGGATGTAGGCCATTGCACTTTCTAGATGAAATCTTTCTGAAAGATCGTTACAAAGGGATCTTATTAGGTGCAACTGCTTATAATGGTAATCAAGGCATATTTCCACTCACATTTTGTGTTTGTGACTAAGAAAATGAAGCAAATTAAAGTTGGTTTATTCAAAGGTGGTATATTTTGTATGATCGAACAAAATCATATAATCCACCCCATCCTCTAGTAATTTTATCAGATGCTGACAAAAGAATAAAACAATCTTTGAAAAATATATTTCCGGATGTGTACCATTCCAGATGTGTACTTCATCTAATTGAAGCGTACCATTCCAGATGTGTATTTCATCTAGTTTAGAATTAGAGAGATAGGTTTTGCCTCAAATACTACTTAACATATTTCAAAATTATTAGAGTTTGCTTCATACAAGTATACGGAAAAAGCTAGTTTACATGAGATTAGGATGATGGATCATAGGGCTTACAAAGTAGCATCAATTATATGTGAATATCATCTATTTTCTTTGACTTTGATCTGTTATATATGACATTATGCTTTTATATGTGACCTTTATTTGTGGCGTGTGACGGTTACCATTAATATGTGATATTAAGCTCTTAAATGTGATGTTTATGTGTTATGTGTGACACTTTGCTATCATGTATGATATTTTATTGTTATATGTGACACATTGTTGTACTTTGTGATACTAAAGTTTTGTTTGATACATATGATTTTTATTTGTAGATATAGTCATACCACTTCTAGTGTTACTGAATCTTTCAACAGTTGGATTTATATGGTGAGAACACTTCCTATTTACGATATGATGAATCATATTCGTATGCAAATTATAGAAATGATGAATACTCGTCGTGAGATGACAACAAAATGGAATAGCTATCTATGCCTTGAAGTGAAAAAATTCTGCAAGAATATTGCAAGAAGGGAAACACTCTTGAATTGAAGTCTTGCATTCGACAGCTAAAATCTTCGAGGTATCATCTCAAAAATCAGTAGAAGTTGATTTGGAACACAAAACATGCACGTGTCGTGCATGGGATGCATTACGAATATCATGTAAATACGCGTGTGCTGCTATTAACTTTATGCATAGAGATGTGTACTACTATTGAGATTGGTTCATGCTAATTGAATCTTTAAAGAAAAGTTACAAACCAATGCTCTTTCCCGTTCCAATTTATGATAAGCCAGATGCCACTGATGAAACAGTTGACATACTTCCCCCAAAGACCACAAAGAGATGTGGAAGAAATAAGGATATAATCGATCTGAGAATAGACGTCTAGTTAAATGCTCAAGGTGCCACGCTGAAGGATATAACCGAGGCACATTGAACCTATCCAAGAGTAACATTTCCTGACAGAATTCAAACTGTTTTGGGACTATTATCCATTGTATGTTACTTTTGTCATTTTATTGTGACATTTATATGTTAAATGTTACCTATTACCTGTTTGTGTGACTTATTAGTATTAACTATAGCACCTGTAAGCTTTATACTTTCAGATTCCATATAATATGCTAAAGAAAAATTCATGGATTAATCACAAATGCATATTTCATCATTGTCACCATAAGTCTCAAAATTTACAAAAGGATTAGTCATATCCAACAAAAAATTATGTTATACATGTTTATCTAATACTTCCACTCAATCAATGGCAAAATATCATTACACACAAAATATAAAAGATATTCTGGATCATCTACATCTTACTTTAGTCCCAGCTTCTTTAATTCTCGGCTCTCACATATAATTTGAGTAGCAAGTCTTGCCCTTAACATTTCAGTCTCCCTTTGTAAAGCTTCAATGTCTATGACCTCCTTTCCTTCTAGGATTGCATTGATTTAGAAATATGCATGTATGTCCCTGAATAAATTCTTTCAATGTTTCATCTTATTTCCTTCCTTCTTTTTCTTTCCTTTTTCTTTTCAATAACTTCATCAGTTACTTTCACATAAGATCACAGTTAATGAGTGTATGACACAGAAAATTATTAAGGGTCACAGGATATGAGAAAATGTCACAGGCAAAATTCATGTATCATAAATGATGAGCAAATGTCACATGCATATTGCTTTAGTCACAGAAATAAGGTAACTGTCACAGTAGATAAACAAATATCACAAGAAAGAGTCAACTGTCACAAATAATAAGGAAGTATCACAGGAAATATGTAAATATCACATGAAACATGCACGTATCATAGGAAATTAGTAACTATCACAGAGTATAAGTAATTATCACAGGTAATATGCAAACAAAAACCAATAGAAGTAATTATCACAGAGTAATTTTTTCCTCCGTCCTCAGGATCACTTTTTTCTTCTGTTGGATGTTTACATGTTGCCTTCTCTGTTATCTAATATAAATGTTACATCTTATAGTTGGGAATAGAAGTTCCATGGAACAGAAGAGTTTTGGGCATGAACATCTCTCAACATCTGGATGTTTAATGTATAATATCAGTCTGTCCACAAATTGCACCAATTGTTATAAAATAGACCCAAAATAACATATTTTCAAACTCAAATCATATTATTGCAACAATCTAATTTGCATATGAGATTTCAAGAAATCAACATCACTACAGTTTAACAATCAAGCATCCTGAACCAAAACAGAAATTAGAAAAAGGATTTCATAATCAATCTAATGCTAAAAACCATTACCATTAACACAAACAAAGAGAGTTGAACTATGGGTAAAGGTTACCATCTATGGATGAAACCAGGTGAGGAAGAAGCTGAGGAATTACCGGAGTTGCGATGAAGGTAGCCGGTGAAGCTCAGATTTGTGGCCGGGGTTGCTAGGGCTTCCGAAAAGGACGATTTAGGTTTTGATGTCGAGTGAGGTAAATCTCACAAGAGTTGGCAAGTGAGGATCAATTACAGAGGTGAGGGCGATCTCAACAGCTGAGCGGAGCTCGAAGATGCCGGCCGACGGCTTTTGGTGGCGATAGTTAGGGTTTTTAGAGAATGATTCTTTTTGGGGGCGATGGTTAGGCTTTTGGCAAGTGAATTTGGTTTACCCCATTTCTTTTGTTAGCCGCCTAGATGAAATTTTGGCTTCATCCCAAATTTTTAGGTTTTCCTTCTATTTTTTAAATGGGAAAAATGCTTCCAGCCCTCAAAACGAATGAAAACAAGCTTCCCACCCCTAAGACTTTTTCAACGGGTGCTTTACCCCCAAAAGTAAAGTTTTTGTTCTCTGAGCCCCCAAAACACAAAGCCCAATGAATTTCACACAGGGAAATACTATAATACTCATTCTCTCTCTCTCTCTCTAACCTTGCAATCCCTCTGCTCTCCCTCCTCCCTCCTCCTGCCATCCTCACCTTCTCCGCCACCGTCGCTCCGGCCATCCACAACATCCTTAAGATCCTCAACATGGAGAAAACTCTGGCGCGGTTCGAGGAGTACAGAGAGATCGCCCGCTCGAGGGCCGAGCGAAACTCCGACGACGAGCGCTGCATAGCCGACGGGAACGAGCGACTGAGGTTTTACTGGTTCATGATTCTCTGCGCGCTGGGTTTCATGGGAGTGTGGGAGCGTGCGGGAGGACCTGTTCATGGGAGCGTGGGAGCGTGGAAGGACCTGTTCGTGGGAGCGTGGGAGCGTGCAGGAGGACTCGCCCAACCCAAGAACAATAATAAGAAGAAGAATGACAAGATTGATAGTAATTACAACCATGCCCCCTAACCTTGGCTGCTCCTGCTTTGGATGCTACAAGAGCTTCTGGGCTCGTTGGGATGCCTCACCCAACCGCCATGTCATCCACCTCATCCTCGATGCCTTTGAAGAGACCCTTGAATCGAAGGAGGCCAACAGCAAGTAGAAGAGGGGGTTGAAGAGTAAAAAAGATTGATTTTGATGAGGTTTTGGCGAAAGAGATGAGCGCCCATGAGGAGAAAGTTAATGATGATGGCCATGATGATGGGTACGGGCATGTTACTAATTACCAACGCTAAAACTATTACCACCAAAAAAAACTTTAAAATAACCCAAATAAAAATATATCGGTTGCTTGTTAAAATTACTCCCCCATTAGAATGTCCTACATTGGTTGTTAAGGTTATATATTGGTTGTTAATGTTACGCGTTTGTTGTTAAGGTTACGTATTGGTTGTTAAGGTTATACAGGTTGCTTGTTAAGGTTACGGGTTGGTTGTTAAGACTACGCGTTGGTTGTTAAGGTTACGGGTTACTTGTTAAGGTTACGGATTGGTGTTAATGTTATACGGGTTGATTGTTAAGGTTACGGGTTGCTTGTTTAACAATCAACTCGTAACCTTAACAAGCAAACCATATAACCTTAATAACTAACCCGTAATCTTAACAACCAACCAGTAACCTTAACAACCAACCAGTAACATTAACAACAAACACGTAACCTTAACAAGCAACCCGTAACCTTAACAAGCAACACGTATAACCTTAACAACCAACTCGTAACATTAACAACAAACACGTAACCTTCATATTAACGGATCTTGAGGATCTCTCTGTCGGATTATTACCGTAACATTAACAACAAACACGTAACCTTCATATTAACGGATCTTGAGGATCTCTCTGTCGGATTATTAGGCTCTGAAAAACACGCTAAGGATCTTGAGGATCTCTCTGTCGGATTATTAGGCTCTGAAAAACACGCTAATTGAAGAAATATGTAAACTCCTGAACGTAGATTGAAGCTTGAGAAATGTTGTGAATAGTGCCATGCATATTAATTAAAAGATGTTGCCATACTAAGAGTTATTACAAAAAAGCGAGTGTTCTTGAAAAATATATAAATTTATTTTAGTTACCTATTAAAGACGATAACAGGGATGGGCGGGCCAACATGCATAAAAATAGTGCATCTAGACTTCCTATATCGTCTAAAAATTACTCTAAATATACAGAACACTCATGATCTCTCTGTCGGAATCAACGCGTTTTTCCCCGTCGAGCTTGGATTTGATGTTTTGGTGCATTTTGTTTGCTTCACTGGTCCTTGTTCTGCTGTTATTGTGATGTCGAGATTTCACCTTGTTTGTTAGGTCCAAGTTTATATTTTTCTTCAATTAGCGTGTTTTTCAGAGCCTAATAATCGGTCAGAGAGATCCTCAAGATCCGTTAATATGAAAGTTATGTGTTTGTTGTTAATGTTACGGGTTGGTTGTTAAGGTTATACATGTTGTTTGTTAAGGTTACGGGTTGCTTGTTAATGTTACGGGTTGGTTGTTAAGGTTATACATGTTGTTTGTTAAGGTTACGGGTTGCTTGTTAAGCTTACGTGTTTGTTGTTAAGGTTACGGGTTGGATGTTAAGATTACGGGTTGGTTGTTAAGGTTACGAGTTGGTTGTTAAACAAGTAAAAACTCGTAACCTTAACAATCAACTCGTATAACGTTAACACCAATCCGTAACCTTAACAAGTAACCTGCAACCTTAACAACCAACGCGTATTCTTAACAACCAACCCGTAACCTTAACAAGCAACCTGTATAACCTTAACAACCAATACGTAACCTTAACAACAAACGCGTAACATTAACAACCAACATATAACCTTAACAACCAATGTAGGACATTCTAATGGGGGAGTAATTTTAACAAGCAACCGGTATATTTTTATTTGGGTTATTTTAAAGTTTTTTGGTGGTAATAGTTTTAGCGTTGGTAATTAGTAACATGCCCGCACCCATCATCATGGCCATCATCATCAACTTTCTCCTCATGGGCGCTCATCTCTTTCGCCAAAACCTCATCAAAATCAATCTTTTTACTCTTCAACCCCCTCTTCTACTTGCTGTTGGCCTCCTTCGATTCAAGGGTCTCTTCAAAGGCATCGAGGATGAGGTGGATGACATGGCGGTTGGGTGAGGCATCCCAACGAGCCCAGAAGCTCTTGTAGCATCCAAAGCAGGAGCAACCAAGGTTAGGGGGCATGGTTGTAATTACTATCAATCTTGTCCTTCTTCTTCTTATTATTGTTCTTGGGTTGGGCGAGTCCTCCCGCACGCTCCCACGCTCCCATGAACAGGTCCTCCCACGCTCCCACGCTCCCATGAACAGGTCCTCCTGCACGCTCCCACGCTCCCACGCTCCCATGAAACCCAGCTCGCAGAGAATCATGAAGCAGTAAAACCTCAGTCGCTTGTTCCCGTCGGCTATGTAGCGCTCGTCGCCGGAGTTTCGCTCGGCCCTCGAGCGATCTCTCTGTACTCCTCGAACCGCGCCAGAGTTTTCTCCGTGTTGTGGATCTTGAGGATGCTGTGGATGGCCGGAGCGACGGTGGCGGAGAAGGTGAGGATGGCAGGAGGAGGGCGGCGGCGACGGGTGGAGAGGTGGGGAGGGAGGAGGGAGAGCAGAGGGATTGCAGGGTTAGAGAGAGAGAATGGGTATTATAGTCTTTTCCTGTGTGAAATTCATTGGGCTTTGTGTTTTGGGGGCTCAGAGAACAAAAAATTTACTTTTGGGGGCAAAGCACCCGTTGAAAAAGTCTTGGGGGGTGGGAAGCTTGTTTCCATTCGTTTTGGGGGCTGGAAGCATTTTCCCTTTTTTAATAGATAATAAATCCATCTTTTCACAAAACCGTTTCTATTAAGAAGATGTGAATGTCTATCATAATAACTGTTTCTTATATGCTCTATTAATAACGATTATTAAATAAACCATTATTAATAGAGGCTTTTGTAGTAGTGTATAAGAGTTACATGAAATAAACAATAGTCACATAAAAAGACTATTATCACTGTTAAAATATAAACATCACATGATAAGAATTAAGCTTGTCTTACCAATGCAACAGTGGATTGACTGCCTTCCTCTTTTTTAACTTTTTTTCTTTTTTAAAGAGTTGTCGGAGTCTAATTTCTCCTCTCTTTTAGCCTTCCTTGTTGTAGGCTTTTGCTTGATCTACTCATGGATGTACCACGACATGTCTTGCTTTGGTAAGATGTGGATTACGACTTCTGACTTCTTCATAATTGTTGCAATTTGCAATGAACCCACTTTCTTATCTTCCAGAGTCTAATTAGTCATTAGTGGCTTCAAATCATCTACTCTGGCATATTATTTGATGTTTGTGATCTTGTAGTATCATAGCTATAAAAAAGTAACAGTCAATCAATAAAGTCAACTCATTTCATATCACTTATCACAGATTAAAATTACCACAAATTAAAGATATCACAAATGTCACATATCGGTAATGTATGTCACATGTAAAAGACAAGTATTACAAATGAGAGACAAATGTCTTATTTTGACTACAAATATCACAAATAAATATCACATATCAGTAACATATGTCACATTTAAAAGAGAAATGTCACAAGTGAGAGACAAATGTCACATTTTGACTATAAATATCACAAATAAATATCACATATCAGTAACATATGTCACATTTAAAAGAGAAATATCACAAGTGAGAGACCAATGTCACATTTTGACTACAAATATTACAAATAAATGTCACATATCAACAACAGATGTCACATGTAAAAGACAAATATAATAAATTTGGGACAAATGTCACATATTAACTACAAATATCACGAAAAAACTCAATGACAGTAAAGTAGCGTAGCCACTGAGGTATGTTAGTCCCTTTTATCTCTCTTCGCAGCTTTTAGAGAATCTCACACTTCATTGCATATGATAGTCGCCCATGACAAATGATCAACTACATCTATATGAGTCATGAACTTCAACATATGTCGTGGTGCATTCATTCTTACAATTTGAGTCCATATCATTGTAAGTTGGTTAAGAATTTGAAGCATCACAAAATCATGCACATCAGATTTCTTTTTGGACCCAACTAGTTTCTCCAATAAGTGTTCAAGATAATCTCGACCACTTTTGTAAGCATCTCATTGCTTCTTATTAAAGTACAAACTCCAAATCCTATTTGTTATATCATGATTTGCTTTCGGTTTCTCCCCTTCATCCTTGAACCGAGTTCGTATTTACACCCAACTTACATCAAATGTAAAGGCATGTTTCCCCCCATTTTGCTATTATTGAAAAAGAACTTTTCGGTAGCTAAATTAGGGTGATTAATTAG